TAAGCCTGATTCCCCTTTTGGACGTCTCTGTTGACATCCACCCCTTGGCGTTCATATGACCTTATGCAGTTGCAAGTGTCGTAAAACCTTACTGAACTAAAGTTCTCTGAGCGTCCTGGCCCGCTGCCTTGCTATCATACGCGGACAAAACAAAATAAAAAAGTAAAAAATTGGAAGATAATAATAACATGTTTGTAGTGTGTCCATGACTCAGTCACCAAAATAATTTTTTCATTTGACTGTACGTTTGGTGTTTTGCAGGCGTTCTGGTATGGTTTGCTCCTATCACGCATATGTTGTCCTTACTTCTCCTACCTCTTTTCTTTGTATGTTACTCTCTAGCAACGCCTCTAATCTTCGCAGAGCATTTTTATTTCCTAACCGAGTCGCAAGTACCGTTAAACTAAAACTAAGAGTAAAACTAAAACTAATCTTGTTGAACTCTACTGTGCAAATGAGATCTTAATCATGTTGCAAGTAGGCCTACCGTTAAACTAAAACTAAGAGTAAAACTAAAACTAAACCCATTTTTTAAACTCTACAGTACAAATGAGATGTTCACTTATACATTCCGTATTATCATAACATTTGACTACTGTGTTACAGTCAAGCCCGGCTTTTATGTGACAAATCTTTTATTTAACACATCTAACCAAACGGGTATATGATATAGATCTACAAATTAAATAAAGCATCATTTATTATTTTTTATTTCTTGATTTTTAAAATAGTTATTGTTTGTTTGTCAGAAAATGGTGTAAAAAATAAGACATTCCAACTCAGTTAATCATCGAAAGAGGCTGGCCAATTAACGTTTTAAAACGGTTCTCTTGGTTAGATGCAACATGCAACAACCCCAAAGCAAATTATATTGATGACATCGTATCTTGATAGCTAAACGTCAGTTTCACAAATTTCATAATAACCATTTTCTAATTTTGTTTTTGCTGCTTGGTTTGTGGGATTCATATATGTGTGCGCACAAGGTAGATATAACTATAATATTTCAACATGACTTAATTTGATGATGTTTTGGTAAATATCTATAGTATTTGTTGTCTATGTTTCTTGGATTTTGTATTTTTGTTTTATTCATACATCAAGAAGTTCGTTGTCTTAATTTCTTATGAAGGTTATTCAGTAATATTGTATTGAACAAAATACAAAATAGTTATCCAGCCCACGCCCGACATTGTCTCGTTCGAAAAAAGAAGATAACCCGTGGATTAAAAAAATACCCGTCGTTCACCCCATTTAAATCCCACACGAGTAGGAGTTCGTGATAAAACTACATGTACCACCGAAATGAACATGACACCAAGTGTTTAGAAACTATGCATTTGTCATAGTAGAAGAGAAGATTAGATTGATCTATTTGGAATTCTTTGGTTGGCCCAGTATAGTGTTAGACTTCGAGATAATTGGTAACGTCGGCGTCTTTTTAAAGAAAATACAGCAATGGCACGCACGAATCAGAAAAAAATGCACACACACACACACACACACACACA